ATATATAGATATTTAGATATTTAGATGGGTATCTCCACGAGCGCAAATTCAGAAAGGGGCGCGGGCTTTTCCTGCTCAGGCCATCTTTCGAGGCAGAGACCACTTTTTATGTGGTGGATTGTCCGGAGCAGGACAGATGGGAGTACTTCGCATCTACGAATCCTTTCCTCCGAAACCTCAGGTGAAGCAAGTCACCCTGAATGCAGAGAGCGTCTTCGAGCTCTTTGCTAACGGTCGCCGGCCCGGTGCACCTGCAAAGCTGGCCGTGAAGCAGACGAGTGCGTCTCGCGCCAACTCAGCGACGGAACCATGCAGCGCATGTTCTTCAGGAAGAAACATGGCCTCGATTCGGTAATGGTCGTGACTTCCAATCATGTCGCGAAAGTGCAAACCGGGTCACGCTTTGGCAAGCTTGGAGATGTTGCCTGGCCGCGTTTTCGCGTCCAACATGGGTCGCCTGAATGTGTTTGGTTCAGATTAACTGACACACATGCATGGTTCAGTGGCTGTGGAATCATGCATGGACTGTAGACAGAAGTCGAAGCTCTCCGACGACAGTCCGGAACTAAGGCGCGGCCTTAAAGCAACCTCGGCCGCAGCGGCTTGTTTGGAGGACGAGCTTTTTTTCGGCTCTTTGAGCTTTTGCCAGGATCGTTCAACAGCTCGGGGTTGGCACTGCCAAAGTGCTGGTGCAGTCCCCGACTTCTCGACTCGCCGAGAACTCGTGCTTCCTCTCTCATGTTTCGGTTTTGGGAGGTGTTGCAGGCGTGCGTGGCCGGAACGAGTGGGTGCCGGCACTACACCCTGGACTTACACCGAGCGGGCTCCAGCGAGGCCCTGCTGGCTGAGCTGCTCGTAACCAGTGGAGGCCAGGGCTCTCAGAGAGCTCAGGGGGCCTTCCAGATGCGACAGAAGTTAGGTACGGACGTGGCCCTCTCCCCACCTTTCCATCCTTCTGCAACTCGACTGCAGGAAAGCTCTCAAGCCTGAACTAAAGCAACTGCGAAGCTGTCTACAGGAGCAGTGCTCGGCTCAGGTGAAGCTCTACCGCACAGATGTGCCCTTCGCTAGCACGACAACGAGTGCCCGCTGCCGAGGGGAGAGCACAAAGAGCTGCTAAGAGAGAGAGAGAGAGAGAGAGAGAGAGCGCGGCCTCCCGCTCGCGGCAGGTCCTCGCTTCTGCGGCCAAAGGCGGCTTCGTGTCCTTTCGCTCCTTCAAAGACGCAGACCGGCACAGCCAGCAACATGCCTCAACTTAGACTGAGAGAGAGGGAGCTCCGCTCTGCTTGGCTCTGAGGTCCACGGAAGTGGCGGTGCCGAGCGAAGCGACGTCCCGTGGATCCGAGGAGCGCCCGTGCGGCGCCGAGAGCCTCTCTCAGACGGAGAGCGGCTAAAGGAGCGAGAGAGAGCCAGCGCTGCGGAGCAGCGGTGCGTCGTGCAAGCTCCAAATCTCACGAGCTCTTTCCTCTCCCAAAGAGCACTGTGCACTGATGACTCAAGCAGCGGTAACCCAAAAACGCAGAATGAGTCTCGGTGGATCGTATGACCAGGGATGCGTGTTTGGGACTTCGACGTGCGTGGTTTCTGATCCCGTTGTTAGAGGACGGACAGCTCGAAGGACATCCTTCTGAGCTTGGCTATCTCCTTATCCGGTTTGTAACTTTTCGGGTTTAGGACTCGCACGCAGAGTCGCCGAGGGTGTGTCCAGGATCGGGAGTACACGGACACCGGTGACTCTTTATCTTTGGCTTGTAGCTGAAGCTTTATTTTGCGAAGCTAACAACGTGCTCTTGTGGCTCAGCCCATGCGCGTTGACACGACCTCCAGAACCGCCGGTGCTCCGACAACACGAGAAGAGAGTGGCTAGCAGCCGCTCACTAGAGGTATCATCCAGCACGGCCAAAAGGAATCACGGAAAGGGACACTGTAACCGTGTAACCCGTCCGAGCCGACTCGGGGCTTTTTGGCTTCATTTAGTCAGAGACTTGCTCTCGAAGAGAATGAGGTCGCAGTGGAAGCCGCTCAGGACCCTGAAGGCGCACGGCGGGGGACGGGGGACAGCTGGGCGCCGCCTTGCCGGCGCGCGTTTTCACCGAGGTCTTCGTGGTCTCTGCGGACTGGCCCGGAGCCCTTTGAAGCGAAGCGGAGAGCGCAGCGGAAGAGCGCGACCCCTTTCAGGGATGGCAAGATGGAGTACACGCTGCAAGTCGGAGCCTTTTCTCAATCGGATCCATGGAGCTCGGGCTGTGCGGCTGTGCAGCTGTCATGCAGTTTGGGCGCGCCCCCAATGCCGATGCAACGCTCGCAGCGATTGCGTCGAACGTGGGCGCGCCTGGGCCCCAGACGAAGAAGGGGCTCAAGGGGTTTCAAGTGCTGTTTGATGATGGCAGCCATTTGAGCTTTCCAAGAGGCCATATCCTGTGGGCAAGGATCTGTGTGCAACTCAGCCCGAGAGCTATCCCGAGCGAGAGAGGGAGAGGCAGATGGAGCCCCCACCGCGCAGCATCTTTTGACGGTACTCTCACACAGACCCCCCAGCGGCCCTTGAGGTGGGAGAAGGTTTTCTCTCTCGCCTCGGGGGTGGACGCTTGGGAGAAAACCGAAAGACAAGAAGAGACCACCGTTGCATTCAGTTTCAACATCTGGCACCTAGTGCTTATGCTGGGATGTCAGCCACATCCGCGTCTCTCGGGGCTTACGGTTTCCGGGCTGCGCAGGAGCGGATTGTATATTATCTTTACTTGTCATCTCTGTGTTTGTGCACTCAATGGGCGATTTGTGTCCGGGCCGTACCTCTTACGGCATTGGCATTGTGTGCTTGGTGTCGTTTTGCCTGACGGTAGTTTCACTTTGTTATTCTTTTGTCTTGCATGCTATCAGTTACAGCCCCAGCGCAGGGTAACGGAGCGAACGTGTCTTCCATCTGCGGGTCTCGTGGAAAAACGGCGCCCCAGCTGGTGCAGGAGGAAGAAGAGAGCGAGAGAGAGAGGGATGGCGCAAGAGGAGTCGAGTGCTTCAGAGGCGGCGGTACATGCTGGAAGTGCCGCGAGGGCCTGCAGACTGGCTTGTGCTTTTCAAAGAGTTGTTAATGGAGTTGTGCTTGCAGGACACGGGAGGTAGCCCTGAGTGCCACGGCGGTGGACAAGGACGGGGGGAAGTTGGCACAAGTCGCCGTTACGCGGCGCGAGCGAACGCGAAGCCGCGAAGCCTGAACTACTCGGCCTTGACAAAGGCCGCCAAAAAGATTCAGCCTCCCTGCCTCAACCACGGTCGCGTCGAGCAACGGAACACAATGGCATTTAGTCGTGACGCCTTACTCTACATGTCTGGTTGAGCCCAAGCTGCTTGGAAATCTGCGGCAGCCAGTTGCTAGCATTACGCAGGGTTACAGACGTCCTTAGTCAGGGAAAGCACGAACTGCTTTCATTGGTAGATCTATGTGCTTTTCTCGGTCATGTCAATCCCACGCCGTTCTTGCATTCAAGACACGAAGAGGAGGAAGAACTCAAGCATTGCAGGGTCTACGGGGTCTGGGCATGGCAGCCGCCGTCGTCGCTCAGGAGGGAGCGCAAGTCACATTGGACGGCCAGCACGGCCGCGGCTATGCTTCTGCTGCTGCCTGGCTGAAGGGTGCAGTCGGACAACAACCAGTCCTCTGGTGCTCGAGGTTCTGAAGTTGAACCCTTCCGCACCTTACAAGAAATTGAAGATCAGGGTAGAGGCCGCAGATGAGGCACGGGAACGACGGGAACGATGGGAAGGTAGCAGCTAGGATGGTCAGTGCAGGTGACGGCTTTGGACTATGTTCTGGTTGTGGCCATGACAGAGCACAGCAAATGGGCCATGCTGGAAGATCTGGCCCCTCAGCGAGCACAGCTGCAGACTTTGGAGGTTCAGTGTGAGCTCTCAGCCGACTCAGGTGGTCCCTGGATGCGAGGGGGGGCTGCGGCCAAAGTTCGAAATCGACGCCGGTGGCCCCAAAAGAATGGGGTCTCTGTGTCGCTGATGTGTTGGCGTCTCCCAGGTCTTTCGCTATCGCTGCCTTCTCAACAACGAAGCGCAAGTCTTCAAGGCGAGAGCGAGCCGAAGCGACCGAGCCGCCCCCGTCGCACCCGCTTGAAAGCCGGTTTTTGATCGCGACTGGCCGTCTTTGGTTGAACTGGTCACGGGGCATCTGCCAATCACTGTCATGCTCGTCGTCATCATCGTCATCGTCGTCCTCCTCCTCCTCATCATCATCACCATCATCACCATCATTGTCGGCCTCAGCCTTAGCCTCAGCGTCAGCTTCAGCTCCAGCGTCATCATCACCATCACCATCACCATCATCACCATCATCATCTCATCATCATCACCTCAAGATCACCACCAGCATTACCCTCCTCCTCCTCCTCCTCCATGTCGTCGTCGCAGTGCGCCACGATTCCCCGTCGTTTTGATCTTCGTACTTGTCCCTGCCGTCATCTTGACACGTCGTCGGCGGCCACTCCATCGCTCTCTCTCTCTCGCTCTCTCTTGCTGTGCATGTGGTCGTCCCTGTCGCCATTGTCGCTGTCGTCGCTGTCCGCGTCGTCGACGCCATGGTCGTCGTTTTGGTCCTGGTCGTCGTGGGCCTCCTCGTCGTCGGCTCGTTGTACTCGTCATCGTCCTGGTCGCTGGCCCAGTGTCCTGCAGTGAGATGACAGAGTGGCGATCCTGCACTTGTAACGGCTTTCCAGTCGTCTCCAGCACGAGGCATCCCCAAGCTTTCATTGTCACAGCTTAGAACTGTCAGATAGTTTAGGTGATTGTTGCAAAGAAATCCCTGGACGTGGCCTTGTCAGCTGCCGGTTCTGTTCGGAAAGAGCTTGAGCTGGAAGACAGCGCAGCAAGGAAGCTATCGAGTAGAGAGCATGATGGCCGCCAGCTGTCCAAGAGTTGATCTGAATGCAGGGCGGAGGGAGGGAATGAATGTTGCCTCGGTAGGAGAATGGTGAACATCCGTGGCCCAACTCTGGCACCAGGCTGCAATTGCGGCTGCATCTCAGCAATATTCGGGCTGAGTGCACAGAACAATGCTGTACTCGTGGTCGGCCGCAAAGTGGTCTCTAGTGGATTCAGCCTCAAGAATGATGGACTTGACAATGCCTTCATTGATGCCCTGGCCAACTGCTTGAAGATTTGACAATGGATCCTTGGTTGCTTCCTTCAATGAAGGGGGCTGAGCAACGGCTAAGAGTCGTCCGCTGGCGGACGTGCTGTACCGGTACACTTCAAGATGCAAACGCTGGGCTGGACTAGTGCAACCACCCAATGGGCGAGACCTAGACCAAGAGGAAGGCAATGCTGCAGGCACTGCCTCTTCGGAACCCTCGCCAAGCCAGCAATGACCGGAGCTCCGGTGTCCAATGCTCGATTGAGACTGCTTCGATCAGATGGCCTGGACCAATCAATCATCATGCCACCAGTCATGCACACACTAATCATCCTCATACCGATCATCATCATACATATCGCTCCGGTCCAATCATCATATCCTTCACTTTCTCCATACCACATCCAATCTCGCATGTTGCGGTGTTATTCTTTTTTTAAAATCATTTTTCTCGTTGTCCGTTTCTTTTTTTCCCTATCCTTTCCAATGTCTGTTTCCTTTGAATCCCTTCGTTCCAAATCCTTTGCCTTTTCCAGATTCTTTGGACAAATTTCCTTTTTCCTTTGCCCGTGCTGTTGCGCTGCGCTATCCTGTCCAATGCTTTCCTTTTACTTTCGTTCTTCGGTTCAGTGCTCCAATGACTAGATCCATCGGTGTCGCCTGAGCCAATGCCGATTTGAATCGGGTGATGTGGCACCAGGTGTACCGCAATCTCAAGGTCTGCAATACCATGTCAAACATCGTTGATGCGTCAACATTCAATCTGAGATGCTGCTGCGGTGGCCCTTGTGGTTTTGCCATGAGCAATGCAACCAACAAGTAATCCAAGTTCTTTCCGGTTGCCTCCTCACGATTGTTCTTCAAGCTCTCGAAGATCTGACGCAGCCGATGATCAATGATCCTGCTCAGGGCTCGCGCTCCGGGCTCTTTCTGGCAATGAAAATCTCTCATACGATGCTTTCCAGGTCTCGGAGCTGACCGTCAACTTTGCTGCTGCTGCCAAGCTGCTGCTGCCAAGCTGCGCCAATGCGTAGTGCAACTGATGGTTGTTCTAAAAGTCCGTGTTTACGGTTTATGCAAGACCGGCAAAGTCATAGGGATTAAGGGGTCCGCGACAGATCTGATTAAGCAGGCGCGAAAAGAAAGCACTTTTGCTCGAAAGATGTGTCGACACATGATACAGCGGGAGCGCTGTATAAGAAAATACTTTCTGGGACGAGGGTGATCTGGTTTTCTTATGTTGATAGCGGCTGGTTGTGAGGGCAAATTTAATCTAGGATGGGTCAGGGTAGTCTGGTTTTCTTAAGGCCGTTTTCTTATATAGCTATGTCCAGGGCCCAAGAACAAACGACGACTTTCCCCAACCTCAAACCCAGCAGACCCAAGATCCCTCAATGAAGGCATGAATCTTCAAACATAGCATTGAATGCTGCTCCGTTCTCCCATTCTACAGTAGCTCAAACAGCTTTCCTCCAACCCTGAGCTGTCGGATCATATATTGCTTCGTTCCACAACGCAATTGAATAAGAAA